GGAGAACTGTAGAAGAATAGCCAATGCTCTTCTAATTTTGATACTGTACTATGCTGTACAGTGGTACCTCGCATTACAGACGCTTCAGGTTACAGACTCTGCTAACCCAGAAATATTACCTACGGTTAATAAATTTGCTTCTGGATGAGAACAGAAATTGCGTGGCGGCATGGCGGCAGCAGGAGGCTCCATTAGGGTGCTTCAGGTTAAGAACAGTTTCAGGTTAAGAATGGACCTCCAGAACAAATTAAGTTCTTAACCCAAGGTACCACTGTACTTGAATGTTTAAATCTGGGGTCAGCAAACTTTTTCAGCAGGGCTGGTCCACTGTCCCTCAGACCTTGTGGGGGGCTGGACTATATTTTGAAGAAAAAAGTGAATGAATTCCTATGCCCCACAAATAACTCAGAGATGCATTTTAAATAAAAGGACACATTCTACTCATGTAAAAACACACTGATTCCCGGACCATCCGCGGGCCGGATTTAGAAGGCGATTGGGCCGGATCTGGCCCCCGGGCCTTAGTTTGCCTACCCATGGTTTAAATGTTTCTTTGATTGCCCTTGAATCTTCCTGCCACACTTGCCAACCTCTCCTGCCACACCAGTGTGGCAGGCCACACCCTTTGAGAACCACTGCACTACTGCAATCTCTGAACTACAAGAGACTCCAGAGTTGCCCACGCTCACCCAGAGTTTGATTTCTTCCCAGTATCCCATAGTGGGATTCCCATGCAGCCTCTCATCCAGACACTGAACAGAGCCAGAACTGCCTAAGTTCATCATCATTGATGCTGCTGCACCTTTGGACCATGACCTGCTTGGCTTTTCTTTCTGATTTCTGCTCACATTATGCAACTGCCCACTCTAGGAGTGCGACTGCCATAAGTGGAGCACCTTGTAAGCTCTAAGAAAATGCCGATGCAAATGCTGTTAGTGCTTGCACATGTGCATTTGTTATCAAGTGAAAGGTTTCAGCGCTTCATCAGAAAAATGCATTAAGAAGGCAGGGCGAAGAAACCCGAGGAAAATGAATGTCATCTGTTTAAAGTTTAAATCCAGCATTATCTTTACAGGCACAGCAGCTGCTACGGCGGAGGGGAGAATACCTCTAGATTCTGTACGAGTTAATCAAATGTTGCTTGTAGGAATTATTGGGGTTTTTTGGGGGGGGGGATCTCTTCAATTGACTGCTAAAAGCACAAAGAAAAATGAATGCGGTCTGCTTGCTCATTATAACTGCGATGGTAGTTGTGGGTTGTTGGGTAAACTCCAAATCCCCATTGCTACAAGGATATCTGCCCACTGGTAGCCTTGAAAGGCGTTTTTCTGGTCATGGGGGAGAGATCCAGATACCCCAGGATTCATTTGATCCCAGGTTGGTCTCACTACCAGTGAGCAACCAGGCTAGCACAGCAAACTTACTGCCCCATAATAACAATAACAATAATAAATAAATTTTTATTTATGCCCCGCCCTCCCCAGCCAAGGCCGGGCTCAGAGCGGCTTACAAGCAATAATAAAAACAAGAAGAATGATTACAACTTAAAAACAAAAATAAAATACAACATTAAAATAATGGAACATTAAAATATTAAAATGTAGCCTCATTGCAGGAGGAGAAGGAAAAGAAAAAAGAAAGAGAGGGAGGGAGGGAATCAAATTGGCTCCAAGCCAAAGGCCAGGCGGAACAACTCTGTCTTACAGGCCCTGCGGAAAGAAATCAGATCCTGCAGGGCCCTGGTCGCATGAGGCAGAGCGTTCCACCAGGCCGGAGCCAGTGTTGAAAAGGCCCTGGCTCTGGTTGAAGCCAATCTAACTTCCTTAGGGCCCGGGACCACTAGGGTGTTGTTATTTATGGACCTTGAGGCTCTCCGTGGGGCATACCAGGAGAGGCGGTCCCGTAGGTACGAGGGTCCTAGGCCATGAAGGGCTTTAAACTTCAAAAGCAGCACCTTAAATCTGACCCTGTACCCCACCGGGAGCCAGTGCAGCTTGAAAAGCACTGGGTGAATATGCTCCCAAGACCCCGTGAGGAGCCTCGCTGCAGCATTCTGTACCCGCTGGAACCCTATAAGCTGCAACCCTATACATGCTTGGATGCAAGTACCACTGCACAGAGTGGAATCCATGTCCAAATAAGTATGCATTGGATTAAAGTGCTAAGAGTGCTAATTTGTCTTGCCAAATGCAAGGTGGCTCTTTTAATGAGATTCAGAAGCAATACAAACACAAGTGAGTGAGAAGATTAAAGATTTTATTCTAAACAGCAAGCATTACATACATTACCAAGCAAGCACTTCGATCTGCCACTCAAGAAGTGGCGAAGTGACCCCCAGGTAGCCTCAGTTTGCATGGCCCTGCAATCGATCAGTCAATGATAGCTTCACAGAACTATGCCCTAAAACCATCCGATTTATAGACAGCTAACCTGTGTGGTTTGCCTGACTGCCTACATGCTACTAGCCAGTGGTGTCGCAACAGGGGTGGGGGTGGGGGCGATGCGCCTCGGGCACCATGCCTGGGGGGGGTGACAAGAAGGCACCCTGTGGAGGCTCGCGGCGGCATGAGCAGTTATCATGCCACCGCCGCATGTGGAGGATCCTCTGTTCACGGCTGTAGCTGCAGAGGGATCCTGGCACCGTCTGTATGGCGCTGGAGCAGCGCTGCCCGCAAACCGCTATGTACAGTGCATGTGTGGCATCGCTACGTACAGGACATGCGTCATACGTAGCGACACCACACATGCACCCTACATAGCGACGTCCCGCCCCGGGTGTCACAACACCTTCGTTCGCCCCTGCTACTAATTACATATTGGTTATTCATTAGCTAGCCACCTCTCCCAATGTCTCACTTCAAAGAAGGAAGATATCCAGCACTATTACTTTCTTCCACAGATTAGGGCATTAAATGGCTGTTCTCAGCCATCAAAGAGCAGAACAAGAGATAGAGAGGGGAAGGAAACAAAGGCAGGGAGACATGGCCATGCTAGATCACTATCTCCTCAAAATACAAGTACCTTCTGCATTGCCCATTCACGTCCCAAGCAGTGGTGTGCAGTGGAATTTTTCATAGAGGAACAGTTAGGGCCAGAGGTGCCAGCTTGCAAGTGCAACGTGGGAAGGGTGACATCACACACATGATATCTTTGCTAGTCCACTGACCACACGCTACTGGTCCCAAGAGTCATCTGCCCCCAAGGCCAAGATGGTTAAGAATTCTAACATTGCTCAATTTGTTTTTGGGAGACGGAGGAGGAGCGAAGGACTGGATGCCATATAACTGACAATGAAGTTGTGCAGTGATCAGTTCCAGCTTGAATGCAATGCACTTATAAGAACCTTAGAACACAAGGAGAAGCTGTTGGATCAGATTTATGGCATATTTAGTCCAGCATACTGTTCTCACAGTAGCCAACCAGATGCACTCTCCCTCCTACCATTTCTAGCAAACTGGTTTTCAGAAGAATGTTGCCCTTGACCATGGAGGCAGGACACAACCATCATGGCTAGTAGCCATTGATAGCCTTATTCTTATCAATGTAAAGAAAACCTGACACACACACACACCCCAAAAATCAGGTCAGCGTTTCACAGTGATTCAAATGGTGTCAGCACCCAGGGAGTAAGAAAGCAGCCACCACTCCTGTTTTCTCCATCCAACCTGAGCCAGAAGATCTCAGGGCATAGGTGGAGCAGCTTGTGAAAAATGTTTCAGAAACTGGTTTTGGTCTCCCAATGTGGAGCTCAGGCTGCTGGCATGCATTTTTCCTCGATGAACTGTACTGATTGGCAATTCATTTCCAAGCTCAATTCAAAGCAGAACCATAGGCCAAAATTTCTCAAGGATTTTATTCTCTGCCCCCACAAAAACCCCAACGATTTCTGATCTTCTCCCTTTCCAAGAAATGTGCACGCAGCTCTAATTTGTGTTATCCTTGACATTTAAGGACCTAAAATAATGATCTGTGTCTACATATCCAAAGAAGTGCCCTCCCTGAGACTATGAGGTCACCAGTAGAGGGTCTCCATAGGTCACACCATCCTCTGAAATTTGACAAGTCTAGACAGTTCTGTTCTTAGGGAGATCTGTCTGGGCATCCAACTTCAATGTTATCAAAAAGAAATCAACATATTCCTGGTGCTTTTGACCGGCTGGAATGTATCCCTGAACTGCAATGATGTCTTTTTCACTTGCCTGGATGAAGAGGTGTATTGTGTGTATTGAAGCCTCTGATATACGTGGTTGGAATGTAGTCTACTGTATAAGTCAAAATCACATCCATTACTCCACACACTTAGGTATGTGGCCCTCAAACGATTGACAACAAGGCAATTTGGCCCTGGGCTGGAAAAGGTTCACCAACCCTGTTTTATTGGAACTGTCACATGTCTCTTCTCTCTTGACATTGCAATGCTATTATATCATGAATTTTTTATTATTTATTTCTTATGTTTATAGCCTAATGGATTAGTTCCCAAGGCGTCTTACAAAAGTTAAAAGCCAACTTACCAATTATGTAATAATCTTTTCTTTTTCTTATCAAAGAACTTTTTTGAAAAAAAGAAAAAAAAGAAAATTGCAGCTTGCACTTTCTGCGTTATTTCCAAGGAATTAAACATACAGAACATTTTTCTATAGGAAAATGCACCATAAAAAGAATTACCAAAGATCAGATTTGAGTATCTGGAAATTACACGTACAGGAATATGAAAGCCTGTTCTATTATTTCTTTTAACAAAACAGCTGCTGTTTGTAGCGTTCCCTAAATATTACCTGTAACACTTCAAAATTGGAGCGGGGAATGTTATGAAACATGATCACCATTCCTTTTTGGTCACATTCTGCTACAGGGATTGTCGCACTAACGTCGTTACAGACAATATTGCTTTTCTTTGGTTGTTTCCGGAGGAGTCGAGGGAAAGCAGGAGAAAGCCTGAACAGTGTCCCCCAATGGTTACACAGACGGGAGCAAAAGGTCAGGCACACAGAACTTACCCTGGGCCAGATGCGAAAGGTCCGGAACCATCATACGCTATTTCCCCACGTCCACCTGAGAAATCTGAAAAGGGAAAGTAACAAAGACAGTTTGTGACAAAGCTGACACAAAGTACTCCAAAAGGAGCCAAATCAATTGTGACATTTTTCATTTATTTGTAAATGCCTCCTTGGCAGGACACTCACTCAAGACGACAGTTGCCTCTTACGGAATGGAGGAGGTGATGGCAAAATAGAAGGACTCTTGACAGCCGCTTTAATGAGATTCTGCGTTAAGATCACTCTAACACTTTTTCTCCCCCCCCCCCCGTTCGTTCACTCTTAGTCTCCCATACCCCTAATTTATGGGAGGGGGAGGAAGCCTTCGATGTAGGAAAACCCCCCACCTTGCCCTTTTGTCAATTTCCATTTCTAGTTCATTGTGTCCTACTTCTAAGCCCGTCTCCTCCTTCCCTAATAAATAAATAAATCACAAAGCAATATGTCAAGAAAATGTAAATAGTACAGGACATTGATTATCTTCTGGCCCAATTCCACCAATTTTGCTAGGGTGCAAGTTATCTTACTCAGCAAGCAATTCTGCCACAGAAAATGAGATCTTTGACCTGCTGCTCAGAATTTGCAAGGAACGGACAGCCTACCTTGAAGAATAATCGGTGTTTGAGCCTCTTTCTCCCTAGCCACTTTGGGTATTATCATGATTCCTAAACTGCCTGCCAAAACCGTTTGGCTATGATGGAGTCTGTGGGTTTTCATTGTTCTCGCTTGTTATTGGGGAGCTTATATTTCCACCTGGAATTGCTTTTATGAGTGATTACTGAGAGCAAACCCTTGCAAGAAGAACAGCCTTTCGATGCACTGCGATTCTAGTGGTTCAGACTCCATCACACATAGAGAGAAATTACTGGTCGCTGTGTGGTCAGGTGACATTCTGTACCATCTAGAGCAGGCATAGGCAAACTTGGCCCTCCAGATGGGACTACAATTCCCATCATCCCTGACCACTGGTCCTGCTAGCTAGGGATGATGGGAGTTGTAGTCCCAAAACATCTGGAGGGCCGAGTTTGCCTGTGCCTGATCTAGAGATATGGTGGCAGTCCTTGAAATACTAGTCTGGTATGCTTCCAATGGCAAAGTATATTTGATTTACAAATCCCAGTTATTAGCTGTGGAAATGGACCCTTTTCCTCATTGGGAAACTTTTAGGCATTGCATGCCATTGGTGGGCAGCGCTGGAAGCAAAAGTGACATTTAATGGTTTTAATTATTATACCCTGCCCATCTGTCTGGGTTTACCTTTGAATGCTCACCTACATTCCAGCCATGGAAAAGACAGAGGTTTCTGCTCATACCTCTGTCAGTATATGGAAACATCACCGCTGCAGACAGACGGTTTGTTGACACCACATGATGTGCTTATCTGTGGGAAGGAAGAATTTCCCAGGAAGTTCACAGGCTGGATAAGTCTTTGTGAAGAGTGTAACTTGAAACCCTCTGACTGCGCATGTTCAGGAAGTTTGTTAGACTTGCTGGAAGAGCTGAACTGAAAGGACGTGTTTTTCTCTAGTGCTGTAATGTCAGAAATAAACATCATGTAAATAGATTTCTGACTTATTTTCTTTCCCCTGCGGAAGCAGGAGAGAGGGGTTGTGCATTTTACCCACGCTTGGGAAAATGTCGCCTATCAAAATCTCCCTGGTCTGTCTGAGATATCAGCCAGAGGAGGTTACCGGTAAGCAAGCTTCAAGGACAGTGAGAGGGGCCAGCCTCTATGGAGGGGGCTTGCAAACCGACAACCTCTCCCCACCCAGGCCAGAGAGAGACAGGATCACATTTCAAGTACATCTTCCAGACAGCCCCCACCCATATTTTATTTTGTTTTTATTTCTTGTATTTGTATGCCAACTTTTTCTCCAAGGAGCTCAAGCTGACATACATGGTAACTTTGGTCTTCAAGGTCCTAGTCTGCCACTCTTAACCATTGTACCAGAGTAGAGCATTAAACTAGTAAAAACAAAAACAATAAAACCCTATTATACTAGGGGGAAAGGATTTGAAAAAATGTGTGTATTGTGAGATATTGCATACAAAAACAAGTATGCTGGGGGGAAATGCAATGAAATGCTGGTGGATTTTAATAAGTGTTTTTAAATGAAATTAAAAAAAATAATTTAGTCAGTAGAATCATAGAACTGTAGAGTTGGAAGGAACCCTGGAGTCAGGCAGTTCAACCCCCTGCAATTCAGGAATCCTGCCCTGGTTAACAGCCAAGAAAAAAACACACCAAGAACTCAGGCCAATGTAAGTTTCAATAGTGGGAGTGGTCCCTACTCGGAAATCAATAGTCAATAGTAACAAAAACTAATCCATTCAAAAGTATGTATTCTGGTTAACAGCCAGACACACTGACCATTGCACCACAGGCTATAATTTAATTTATTGTGAATAATAATAATGTATTATTACTATTTTTATTATTAGTTGCTTGTTACTTGGAGGTCTGCAAGTAACTTAAAACACAGTTAAATGCACAGATAAATATATTATACCATTAGAGAGAGAGAGAGAAACATACAATCCCCTTAACAGCCATAGGCAGCTTTGGTGGCATGCTAATAGCAATGTGGAAACATGGAGAATTGGACTTAAGATTTGGAAAAAAATGAGGATCTGAGGGAAAGCAAAATGTTCAAGTAGTGCATTGCTACTGGGGTGGGATGTAAAGGGAGAGGCAGCTACCAGGAATGCAGAGTGCTGCCTTCTGTCAGGGTTCCTCTGCATTGATGAGGAAAGGACTCCCAAAAAGATGGGAAGTTCTCAAACCACTGCACTTGGAAGTTCAAATGCTCTGGCACAATGGCGACTTCCAAAGCGACTTTTAATTACAATGCCTTTAGACTCCAGGCTTCTTCCAAGGACTGCAATTTTACGCCCTTTAAATCACAGAACATTTGCTAAATATGCCGGGTGCCCCATCCCAAACTGCTTGAACCATACCGAGATGACATTCTTCTGGCATCAAAGGAAAGATTAGTTCTCCAAGCAGTCAAATTATGCTTTATTCAGCCTTTTACTCTAGTAACTCAGTAATAATGCTTCAGTGGGTTGACTTAACATTCCCCCCTTTTCAGCAATAAATTCACAAGCCATCAAGCTGAGACAAGAAGGATGGGTTTCAAGTTCTCATTTATCATTACTTTAATTGGTCTACAATTGCTCCTGACTAATTATTGCCCCTACAGGCCAACTATTAACTCAGTGTGTTTTAAAAGGGATTGGCTTTGAAAAAGTTACTTTGCAGTAACGAGGTTCCATTACTATGAATCTTTCATGCTTTCTCTCTTCCCCCTCCATTCAAGGCTATGGTTCAGTCCATATGTAATGCCAACTAATTGGCACTACTTGAATAAACCCTGCTTGTAGTTCCTTGTTTGGAGAACAAGAACAAACTATTGTTTGTCAGTTCATACGTAATGGCAAACTATGGTTTGTACCACAGAATTGCTCATTATAGTGCCATAACTCTTCATAGTGCTTACAAAGCACAAAACAAGCTAACAATCTAAGGGTGCTATTCAGCTAGGTTTTACTTAGAATAGACCCACTGAAATTAATAGACCTAACTTAAGAAGCAATCCTAAACCTGGAAAGGCAGAGGAAGCAACACCAGCTTAAGTTAAACTGGTGTAAAATATGCCAGTACACTGGTACCTTGGTTCTTCAACTTAATCTGTTCCGGGAGTCTGTTCAACTAGCAAAACCGTTCAAAAACCAAGGCGCAGCTTTCGATTGGCTGCAGGAGCTTCCTGCACTCAATTGGAAGCTGTGTCAGACATTCGGCTTCTGAAAAACGTTTGCAAACCGGAACACTCACTTCCGGGTTTGCGGCATTCGGGAGCCGATTTGTTCGGCAACTGAGCTGTTCGAGAACCAAGGTACGACTGCACAAAACTCCATTCAGGAGTGGAGCCTAAGCTTAGCAGAGGAAAAAATGAGCCTTGAAAATAAGAGTTGCAGCACTCTTTTCATTTGTTTAACTAACACAGAGTTGCTAGGGCACATTGCCGAGCTGAACAGACAGGATCCAGCTTAAGTCTCCTCTATGGTCCTACCCCTGCCACTCCCCCAGAATGCCCTCTTTTCAGGGCTTTTAGCAGCCTCAGATCTTCCAGCTCAGCCAATGAACCTGGGATGAGGGACTTAGGTCAGTATATCTCCAGCTGAGCCAGGGACTTACACTGGCAAAGCCTGGCTGATGCAGCCAAAGATCCACCACATCCAAACATGCTCACCCCTGCAGTTCTAGCATTAAGAATGTGCCCTAAGAGATGCTCATTAATTTCAACAGGTCTTCTCTTTAAAAAAAACCTGTGGGGGGCACCCTAAAATTAGACACAGGAAAAACAAAGAAGAAAATGAAACATAGTGGATAAGACATAGAAGCAATTTGCCATCCTTCCACAACCTGACATTTTGAACTACAACTTACATCAGTCTCATTCACTATGACCACTATGACCAGGGATGTTGGCAGGTTTAGCCCAAACAAGTTGAATGGCACCAAGTTGTGGAAGGCTGCACTATCTTCTCCTTAGTTATAACAGGACAGGAGAAGCCAACATGGTGACCCTAATTCATTGCTGCAACTCAACTCTCATTAGCCCCACAAGTATGGCCAACAAGAGGGCAACCTAGGTGATAAAGGGTCTGGAAACCAACTCTTATGAGGAACGGTTGACATAATTGGGTATTGTTTAACCTGGGAAAGAGGAGACTGAGGGGGGGAAATACAATAGCCATCTTCAAATATCTTAAGGGCTGCCACATGGAAGATGGGGCGAGCTTGTTTTTCTCCTGCTTTGGAGGCTAGGACCCAAACCAATGGCTTCAAGTTACAAGATAGGCGATTCCGACCAAACACCAGGAAGAACTTTCTGGCAGTAAGAGCTGCTCAACAGTGGAATGCCACTGGCAAGGGGTGGTGCAGCTTCCTCCATTGGAGATTGGGTGAAGATTACTTCATTGAAGATTAGGCAGAGGTTGGGTGGCCATCTGTCATGGATG